ACAGCAGCAAGCTGGAGAAACCAGCCCGACCAGCAAGGTAGATGATATTTACCAAAGTTAGGATAACTTATGGTCAATGCTTGTACCCCTTTTACACCATAGGATGCTTGTGTGCTGTTGTTTTTCGAAAATGATGTCATTTGTGTCTTTGATCTTCTGTTTATGTAGCATACAGAGTAACAGCAACACTAAAGCTGAGGTAAATTTGGTCAAAAACAGACCTGCAGATGCCTGTAAAGCCAAATGGGATGTATTTTCCTGCAGCGATACTGCAAAGCTACATACATCTGCCTCCACCTCAGTTGAATAGCCCTGTTGTAAAACATCAGCATGAAAGGTGGTGGGCGATATGCATGGCTTCAACGAATGCCATCCCTTTAATTATTAATGTTGCAATTTGCCAAAACTTGTTAAATGTTTTTACAACTTCTGCATTTAAAACCACAGCTTCATTCTATTACATAAACATATCTATTTTTAGCTTACGTGGCTGAAATAAATAAAGAGCCACAAAAAGATTTTGTAAATTATTTTAAGCAACCGTTACACAAGTAAAAATGCATTTAAACTGCTGTTTTTCTAATTTAAGATAAAAATCCAATACTTTATACTCAACGTCTGCACAAAATCTTTGTGCATCTACTGCAAACTGTAAATTTCATATTCTGTATTGTCTTTATTTTTATTTTTATTCTTTATAGCGAGTTGAACGGTTTCATCTTATTCTAAGAATTTCATTGCATTATTAACTCTTGTTAACCTGCACATGACAATTGTCATGATCTGTGTTTTTGCTTTAGTTTTCTAGTGTTTCTGTATTCCCCTGTGTATCTCTCCCCTGCTGTCATTCCTCTAGCCCCGCCCATGCTCACCTGTTTCCTCTTGTGTCTCCTCCAGGTGTTTCTTGTTGTCCCTAATTAGTTTACCTTTATATTCTGTGTCCTGTGTTCAGTTAGCCTGGTTAAAACCAGACCCCTGTCCTTCACTTTGGTTCGTACAAGGGTCTGGACTTGCTGCAGAGAGAATCGATTTCTTGCAGGAGGCGTGGCCTCTGTTGAAGCATGTGTGTGTTGTCGGTGTGAAGGAGGCTAAGCTAAGAAGCTAACCGTAAATTGCGAGCGCTGTAAACAACCCTACTGAGAGGAGAAAAGAACCGAGCCGAACGAGACGACTGTAAATGAGAGCTGCTGCTTTGTCAGACAAATTTAATTTAATTTGGAAGCCTTATCAACACAGACTGGCTTCATTCACTTCCTCCACTGCCGTATGCTAAAATAACTAGCAGATACTGCACAGAACATCAACGTCATTTAAAAACTCCTCCTTCTGTTTGCCGATTGGTCCAGGTAAAATAAACTACAAGCAGACACTGCACAGAAAATTGACGTTCTCTTCTCTGATTGGCCCGGCTGAAAATCTGCCAGCGAAATCCATCTCAATGGGAGAAGTCCCAGACAAAGCAGTGAAGGGAAACTAGAATTGAGCGGAGCTGCGTAGGAAGGCAAGGGCCAGGCTAGGGTTCAATCTGTGTCCGATCATTGTTTTGTTTTGTGCTGCATCCCCTCAGCCTGTGTGGTTTTCTTCCGTGCTTCCTTGTGATCCTGTTCCTCCTGAGAAGTTGTTTTGTAAGTTTTGCTGCCACGACAGCCCTCTTTTTGTTTATATTAAAGAGCTTATGTTTGCCTTTTTGAATTTTGCCTGCGCCCTGGGTTTTTCTGCCAGAATCCTCACAACAATAAATAAATCCTGAATCCTGAATCCAAAATCTCTCTGTTTTTCTGGACAGGCAGCTTTAATCCTGACTTAAGGATTCGTCTATTGATTGATTAAACCAGAGGTTGTTAAACTGGGGTCGTAGGACCCCAGTTTAATGGCCATGAACGTAGGAGTTCATGAGCCATTGCTTGGATGAAAAACAAATTGGTAATTTTGTCATTACATTGAAAAAAAAACTACATAAATACGTATGAGGAACACTGCACAWGTCAAAAATACTAAACCAAACAAAACATAATAATTATTATGATGACATTTAGGTATTAAAATGGCAGTAAATTAATTTTATACTGTATGCATGTGGTTTGAGGGAGTCCCWGGAAATGTTTCGCTCCTGTAAGGGGTCTCCATACACAAAAGTTTTGAGAAGCCCTGGATTAAACAAGWAGAGCAGTGGTCAGATTGTGGGTGTCAGGAGAAATAAAGCCTCTGCCCCACCTTCAGTCAGAGGAGGATCACATGTCGAGTCTAGTCGAGGTGTAATTGCACATTTGAAAAAAAAAGGCAAAAACAGAAGCTTTGCAAACAAAAACCAGCTTGGGACAGTTTAAAGAAAACACGAAGGAATAACCACACGTGAACCAAAAAGGGGGACCTGGAGGGGTGTGATGAAATTGCAGGTCTCGTGGGGACGGTCCTGGTCTGGGTTTCTGTGATTAACTCTAACTTCTGTGTAAACACTGTTGATGCTCGGCTGTGGTGCGGTGTCATGTGAGGAAAAGTTTAACCACAAGGGATCATAATGAAACCATCAACAGTTTTCAATTTAATGGGTCAGTTCACAGAAAACACTTCACCGAGCTTTTAGTTTCAGAACAATTGATTCTGCTCAGCAGAATGAAATCACTGATGTTGAGGTAAACGGATGTTAGCAGGTAATGTTTAGTGTGTTAGCATCTGAAGGAAGTCAATGAAAGGACATTTAAACTGAGGCTTAGTTACTGTATGTTGTCTTTATGCACACAAACGTCAGGTCCAGGTCAGTGTGAGAACAAAGTTCAAGACATCATCAGCATGAAGTGTTCATCTTCTGATTTCTTTTGGTTCATGAGTGAAACACTTGTATTCAGCCATGTTCTGAACAGGGGTCGTCATTCAACGTAAGCTCATGCTGCTGGAAGGAAATAACATCAGGAAATATTGAGAAATGATAAGAAAAATATATATTTAATTTATTTAATAGCTGCAGGTACCATTAATTGATGGGTTAAATTCTAGCTGAAACCAACTCATCAAGCTTGTTTTTTTTTAATATTAACTAAAGTACAAACATTACAGCTTAAACAAAAATGGAAATGATTGGTAATGATTTATATAAAATGAGACAAATGAGCCAKGCTGCCACATGGTAAACAATGATGTGGTTCACTTTATCACACAAACTGACCTGCAGGTGTGGGCGTATTGATCTAAGTATTGATACCAAGATGCTGGGTATTGGTATTGGATTGATGCATGRTGATCACTTTATTTGCAGTAGTGACTTCATTTTTTCACAGAGTGAAGTTAGTCATTAGCTGAAATCCCTTCTCTTCATCGTGTCAGTGTGCAATTGAAGTATTGTTGATGTTATATTTATAATTGTGTTACAATGTTGCTTTCTTTGTTTTTGCATTAGCAACTTTTTTCTTAGATAAGTTGTGCAGTAAAATACATGTCTACCCTATAAACGTATTTTACAGTTTTATACTTTTACATTGTTTTATATTCAGAATCAGCTTTATTGTCATTCACACACAACATCAGAGATGCAATGCAGAACAAAATTGCATTAAGAACATATTGATGGTATTAATTAATAGAAAACTATTTTATTTGCCTAAAATCTTTGTCCTGTGTTTTATTATAACTGACTAACTAAAGGCAAAATCATAAAACTATTCAATGAACATGACAATGTCCCAGTTGGTAATTATCGCCCACCCCTACTGATCTGGTTCACTGGAGTCACTTGAACCACACACCCCAACCACACCAATATACTGTATATATACTAGGGGTTCACCAAAAATCGTTTTACATCAGAATCGTGATTCTCATTTACAAAGATTCAGAATCAATTTAAAATGTTCCAAAATCGATTTTTATAAATTAAAAAAATTAAATAAAACAAATCCAATGGTTGTCAGCCTCCATTTTCTAATTACATGGACGTCCTGACGTCATCACGCAGCTGCTTCTGGAACATGAATGTGCAGAAAGCACCAAAACTAAGAGGAAACTACAGAACTGGAGAAAAGACAGATTCACCTGACCCCTGTCTTCATTGAATGCAAAGATTTGGGTTCATTTTGGTTTTTACTGAATGAGTCCAAGTTTGACATAGCGAGGTGTGCAAGGTTCGCAAAATGAAGGTACTTTGGGAACACGACGAACGGGCTCACATTATCAGCTTTGAATGAAAAATCGATTTTGGAYTGAATCGTRGCCCCAAAAATCAGAATCAAATTGAATCGTGAGATAATAAAAGATTCCCACCCTTAATATATACAGATGTTAAGAACTGCAGCATAGTGAATCTGGACATATTTACCTGTCTGAGGCCTCCTGAAGCACCTGGAAGACACTGACTCTGAAGGTTTCGTTCTGAACGTGCTCCTGGATGAAATCCTTGTAAATCCTAAACTCCGCCGCCGTGATGACCTCTCCCTCTGGAATACGGGACACATCAAATCGAAACTCTTGTAAAAGCGGCCGGAACAGAAGCTCCTGATCAACTGTCAAGAGAAGACAAAACAAACGTGAATCTGAAGAACCCAGTTTTCTCCTCAGCTGACACACAAATGCAGTAAAACTTCTTGAAAACTCATGGAGAGAAAAAGCATATAGACATGAAAAAAAGATTACTTTAAGTACAATCAGATGGGAAACCAGTCTTTGGTTAAAAATATCTGTGAAAACTCTTGTTGATTCAAGGTTTTCTCTGATGTGTGTTCCTCTGCCCGCAACTTGGAAGCACTTTGTTAAAAATAGGAGAAAAAAAATCCCTTTTCCATGAGTGGAGTGACTGATCTAAACATTCTTTAAGTCAAGTCTGCCCTAAGTGCCAACGTGAGGGGGATGAAACCATGTTCATGGCTGACTTTAGCTCCCTGTTTAAACAGCACACATGTGCTGACCACAAGAAAAGGCTCGTTAGGGTACAGCCCGGAAAACCACAGCAGCAAGTGCACTTAAACAAACTCACTGGCATAAAGGGCAGAAAACCGCACAGATTCAACTGCGCCTTTATGAGTCTGCACCCACAACACCTCCCTGATTATTTCGCAATACGTCCCCATCCGGTGATTTCCTCCTGATTGAAGACGAGAAAGTGAAACAGCAGTTGTTGGTGACACTCAAAGGTTTCCACCCAACCCAAGTCCACTCGAGCTCTCCACTGCTCAGAGTTTCCATGAAGCGTTGGTCAGAAGGACAGAGTTCAGCAGGTCACTCTGAATGCTTTGTGCTGATATTTTTAAAAACAATTTAAAAAATCTTTAATTATTGATACACTCCCCAACACTTAGGGGGCAGTACAATGATGCATGATTTTGTTTAGTCAGTAGCATTGAGCAATAAATAAAAGTATCAATATAGAAATCTAATCCAGTTGAGCAGCACTGTATTGTGAATTGTATTGTGCTCTGTATCAAAAATCGCATTGAATCGCCAGGTGATACCCAGCCCTAGAACACTTGTTTCTTTGTTTCYCTGATACCAGTGCTATAACTCCAATATGGCCGCCACCTGGCTTGATGACGTCACATTAGTTAAAACCCTCAGGCTCTATTCCTAAGTGAAAYTGTAGCATTTCTGCAACAGTTCAACTGTTTGTGTACACCAAAGCTTTTTGAATCCAGGTCTCAGAGTAGAAACTTTTAACAACCCATGACTTTGTGAGAAATTGTGCAAGTTCACTACAGATAGCTGCGGTCAAACGTTTTCCTGCACAAGTAGACGAATGACAACGTGACAGTGACAATGGCAGATAGCAGAGTGCTGTTTGTGCCGTTTTCTTTTTTTTTTCAACTTGTAGAAGCAACCCATCCTCATCCTCAGTTCAAAAGAACATTTGTGTTTTCAACAGTCTGGATGAAACWGTTTTCATGCACGAAACTGAAGTGYGCAYATCTTTGTGTCATTRAGATACAAAAATCATGGTTTTTGGTATGGAAACTGTAATGGATTTAACAAGCACAACAATACCATGTAACTTTTTTTTATGTTAGTTCATTTTTACCTTTATTTAATCAGGAAAATCTTATTGCAATCAAAGGTTTATTTTGTAACGGAAGTCTGGACCTAAAAGGACACTGCATATGCCATCCAAAGTATCAAAGTTGGTTGGCTGTCACWTGGTTTCAAATATGTTTTCAGTGGGAGACCCCTCCCACTGCAATACACGTCACAGCACAGGTTTCTCACCCGTCGGGGTCTCCATTCCATCCCTGCATCTGCCGTTTGGCCAAAAATCTCACGAAAAACTGCAAACTGACTCCTCTGTGCACAATATCTGTGCTCTCTCCATGTTAGTCGTTGTGTCCTTGGGCAAGACACTTCACCCGCCTTGCCTGCTGATGGTGGTCTGTCAGTGTGCCCCAGGGCAGCTGTGGCTRCATTGTAGCTCACCACCATCCGTGTGTGAATGTGTGTATGAATGGGTGAGTGACTGTAAGTGTAAAGAGCCTCGGAGTCCAACAAGACTTGATAAAGTGCTCTATAAGTTCAGTCCATTCACCATCTCCATCCAGTTTTTAGACATTTCGAAGGAATTAATCGGTTAGATACTGATGTTAAAAGCACTACACCGTTTTCTCAGTTTCCCTTTTAAGTATTGATTTTATGGTCTATTGTTTGAAGATTATGTCTTGATTAAAATAGTTTAGACACATGCCCGAACCACCAACAACACATAGAAAAACTGTTATCAATTCATGAGGGAAGGTAATATTTGTTCGAGTGGCCTGCGATCCAGCCGTAGGCCTGTAGTGGGAGCAACTGTCAGCGCTGCTTTAGCTGACTCCAGCAGGAAGAAATAAAGCACGCTTGTAACCACACTGAAAAAAATAACTTGTAAGATGTACTTGAAAAAAATCCTTTAACAAATTTGCACTAACGTTTGTTAAGTGAATTTAAATGCTACAAATTCATGTAATATTTACTCATTATTATCTAGTAAAAGTTATTAAGAATATGGTTAAAGATTTGTGAATAAATCAGGTAAATTTTAATTAATTTGCTCAATTAAATTTTATAACATATACTTGATCAAATTAAGTAAAATTTACCTGATTTATTCACAAATCTTTGACTATTTTAATAACTTTTACTAGATAATGATGAGTAAATATAACATGAATTTGTAGCATTTAAATTTATTTAACAAACCTTAGTGCAAATTGTTACGAGAATTTTTTTCTAGTAAATCTTACACGTTTTTTATAACAGTGCACATGTGTCAAGCACAATATTGTAGCATGACACCTCAAAGCTACAGAAAGTGTAGCTCTTGTTGCAGTTCAAGACTTCCCCACCAGGTGGCGGTTTTGAAGAACCTTTATTGGATTCTTCTTCATGAACAACACAGACAAAGTAAAACTCACAGGTCTTATCAATGACKAGGCCTACCACTCTCACTTATGKTTACTTCAGCTGAACGGTTTAACACAAGTTAAYAAATAATGAACACACAAAGAGTAACACAACAGACTAATTGCTGAAAGAACAATGTTAACCAATTCCCTAAAATGATTTCACAACAACAAACATGAATCCTACCCACAATCCTCCACTGCAGTCACATGACAAACAGCCAAACACAACAGAATGCTACAATATGCATTCCCTGTTCCCTGACAACTAAATATTACCTACATTATACCATCAAACTATTGCACACCAACAAATGTATTCAAGCAAAAGAAACCAGACAATTTATGTTTTATTTCGACCATGTCTTGTCCTCTCCTTGAAAAGTGAAGCWAGGGAATGAGGAGCAGCAGCCTTTGTGTGYGCATGCACCCTCAGTTTTAGCCCAGAAGAGTAGAATTTACTTAATATATTCATGTTTATGTGCTGTCCAGAAAAARCACTGAAATATTACTGGTAAAATAATATTAGCATTTATTTTTTTGTGTACAGTAATATTGATAAATAATATAATGTATATTGTTTATTTAGTAAATTCTAGTAGTTTAGAGATTTTGATATTTTTGTAAAATTTAAAACAACAATTAAATACTGTTACTACACCCAAAAATCCTTTCTTTCAGTKCAGATCTGGGGTTGTACAGTCCTATTCTGTTCATATTTTAATCTATTCACTATTTATGTGGTTTTGTCTCAATTTCAGTTAATGAACACTTAATTTTCTTACAACTTGGCTGCCTTTAGTCTGAAGGAGTCATATATAGATGGGCACTTTCTGATGACCTCAGCCTACTGATCCTCAAAACTATCCTTGTAGCTTGCACGCACAACAGCCAGCTTCTGGAAAAGGACAAAGAAAATATTATCATCATTATGTTGCAAAATTACATCATTGCAATCTGAGCACTTTCCACTTAAACTAACACACCCACAAACTTCTGTTCTGACCAATCACGTTGTTTTACACATATTCCTGTGAGGAAAAAGTTCATCCGGGCCTTGTGTGAGAAGGGGTTGTCGAAGCTACTTTGAGAACAAAACGATGTCATTTTCGTCAAGTAACTTTGTCACTGAAGTCACGTGGCTTCACATGGAGTATGCAGAGCACTGAGGACAGCCTAACAAGCAAGATTATGGACTGCTGGAAAGAACCAGAGTACGCAGTGAAAACCCACGAGGAGAACATGCTAACTCCACMCAGAAACACCCCATGTCCAAACTAGAGACTGAACCCAGGACCTTCTTGCTGTGAGGCAAGAGACTGTTGACGTGTAAACAGGGTCTAACCCCACCTGAAAAGATCTGAAGTACCCCTTTTGTRTGCCGAGCAGAGCGGCGATTGGCCACCTTAAACCCAACCTGCCGTCAACCTGTCACGTCTCAGTCCCAGTCGTTCAAGCTGACATCCAGAGGGTTTTTTTTCGTGGCACCACAGAGCTTCCACACAAAATGACTCACCGTCCTCTGAAAACACTCTTAACGACATGAAAACACACACGCCACTAGCATCGAGAGCGCACATTCTRAACCCTGCAAGTCATTTGTTTGACCGCAATTAAATGCTGGAAGGGAGCGAGGGGTGATTTTATGAAAGCAATAATTGCTTGTAAGGACTCGGAGTGTTTACGTTAGGGACCATTAGCTGCAGAGATCAGACCTCAGATATGCAAACTTCCCTCTGGGAGACATTTCAACACTACAGATTGCCCCTGACACTGCAGGGCCACACAGCTATCATTAACCTATTGCAATTTTACAGGAACTGTTTATTTTCCAGCAGATCAACGTGGGGGGTCAGAACCCGTATGATAGAAAACTCACAATTGTGTCACCGTGGTTCTTCTGTTGCTTCGGGGGGGTCTGCGGGATTCAGTTGCTAAAAGCCATCAATCATTTTTTCCAAATCTGTAAAGAGCTGCGTGAGTTTTCACGTTTCACAGCAATTATTTTGCACACGGATACACGGATAAGGAGTTAGATTAATGAGATTTTCTGGCATCATAGTAGAAAGTTCTTAACGTGATCCTTTTCCAATCAGCTTACTGAGAGAGGAAAGCACGTTTCTTCCTGCTTTTTTGCCCCAAAACACAAGAATTCCTCTGATCTTTAGCTCCTTCTGTTTCAGCTTTTAATTGCTTACTGTTGAAACAGACAATGTGTGTGTTCATGTGTTTGTCTGTTCCTAGTGATCATCATTAAAATTATATCAAATRACCAATTCAAMATGGCTGCCACAGCCATAAAACAAAGAATTGACTGTAATTCAGTCTGTTTTACAGATACGGAGCTGAGGTTTGGTGYRGYAGCAGCTAAGCCTGATCCCCAACAYTTATTCTGAGCGCTAACAGATTGGATAAGATTAATATTTTGGAGTCATCTCTATCTGTTAACAAAATATCTCATGAACCATAAGATGGATTTTGCTAGAACTTCCAGGAAGTAATCATTAGAYATAYATCTATAGGTGATTTTATTTTGGAGACAATACAGTTTAATGGTTTTAACCAACTGAGCTTAGAAAAGACAAAAACAGCTAAAATTCAGTTACTTTTACACATATTATATTACAAATGTGTTTGTTTGTAGCTGAGGGTCATTCGCARCACATACTCCAAGTGTTGYTCCTTGCACAATGTGCTTAAAACATTACCTGTTGGACTCAATCCTTTTTGTCTGTTAGCAAAATATCTAATGAACCAYCTAAAGGATTTCATTAAATCTGTCAGAAAGGAATCATTAAAAGTTCGTCTACAACTGATGAGGATTTGGAGTCGACCAAATTCAATACGGCCTTCACAGCTAAAATAATCCATATTAGCCAACACAAAAATGTTTATAATTTGGTCAGTTTTAAAGGTGATGAGCTGAAACTGGATGTGGTAGTAGCTGAGAGTTATTCACAAAACATACTTTTAATGCAACCTTTTGCAAAGTCACACGAATTTGCACGACATCTTTTTTTAAGGTTACAACATTAAATATTTAGAGGCTTGTTGTATTTGGTGAAATCTAACATTTAAAAAATCGTTTTTACATTTGAAAAAGAGTTGTTCCTAAAACAGCTTTCGGCTGACCATTTTCTTCTGCTTATCTGGGGTCGGGTTGTGGGGGCAGCAGCCTAAGCAGAGAGACTCAGACTTCCCACTCCCCAGCCACTTGGACCAGCTCCTCTGGGGGAATCCCAAAATGTTCCCAGTCCAGCTGAGAGACATAGTCCCTCCAGCGTGTTCTGGGTCTTCCTCTGGACCACCGACCAGTGGGACGTGCCCAGAACACCTCACCAGGGAGGCGTCCAGGAGACATCCTAACCAGATGAACCACCTCAACTGGCTCCTCTCGACGTGGAGGAGCAGCAGCTCTACTCTGAGTCCCTCCCAGATGACTGAGCTTCTCACCCTATCTCTAAGGGAGAGCCCAGACACCCTGCAGAGGAAACTCATTTCAGCCGTTTGTATCCGCGATCTCGTTCTTTAAGTCACTACCCATAGCTCGTGACCATAGATGAGGGCAGGAACGCAGACCGACTGGTAAATCGAGAGCTTTGCCTTCTGGCTCAGCTCTCGCTTCACCACAACAGACCGGTACAGCGCCCACATCACTGCAGACGCAGCACCAATCCGCCTGTCGATCTCCCGCTCCATTCTTCCCTCTTTCGTGAACAAGACCCCGAGATACTTAAACTCCTCCACTTGGGGCAGAACCTCCTCCCTGACCCAGAGAAGGCACCCTACCCTTTTCTGACCTAAAACAGCTTTAAAGGATAAAATAACAAATAAGAACTACTGTTTTATAATGTTTTATGAGTATGTAACAAAGTGTTTGAGTCTGAATTTAAACTCTGCTCTCACAGAATGACCACCTTTTTCTTTAACAATGATAAATTGAACCTTAAGTTATTGAACCACAGCAGCTGTCTGTCCTTTGCCTTGGAAATGCTAAAAAAAATAAAGAAAGAAATAAAAATCCCTGCTTCGTTTTGAAACTATTATCAAAAGACCACCAAGAAAAAGTCAATCCAGCAAAATGTGGGAGCTAAAAAAAGAAAAACCTGCCAATCRTTAGCACAGCAGGTCATTGTGGGCTTAAAAAGAAAAAAAAAAAGGCGCACCAAGTCTGTTTTCCCCTCCTCTTCCTCTGTGCATGTGAAACCACACAAATCTGCCTTTGGTTTTCCAGAAACGTGTTTCCAGTTCTCATTAGCTAAAGACTGTCAGGGAAAAGTTCATGACATGAGATATTCTTCCAGCGTCCAAATGGTTTGGATTAGCATTATTACATGTGGACTGAAACAATCGAAGTGTTCTGGATTTTTGCAGATTTCAGATAAAAAACATGGGAACCAAATAATAGCCAAGAGGAAGAAAAAGCTTTTTATTTTCCTCCACTCTCACCAGTCTTCTGGTTTTTCTCCACAGACAGGAGAGCGTTCATCAACAGGCAGCAGGATTTGTCTTCGAAATCTCTGTAATGTTTCAGTTTTTTCCTCCACTCTTTATTTTCCTCCATGCAGTCATGAAGACGGAGCCGAATCCATCCCAGACACCTGCACTGAGCAGACTGCAGCAACGTGATGCTGTCTGTGTCTTTGGTCACATCTCTCCCTCCTCAGGGAGTTAAAAAAAAACACTTTTCAGCTCCTAATCCTGCGAAACAAAGCAGTGCTAAAACCCCACCTCCCCCTCCTCTGAGCTTTGAAGGAATCTGAAGGAAATCAGATCCATGCGTGTTGTCATAACATTTACAGCTTGGCTCGGGATGAATAATGCCTGATTTGTTGTGAACATTGTGACCCCCCTCCCAAAAAAAAAAAATATAAAAAAGGATCAGTGTCTGACAAATAGATCTTTACAAAAACATGGTTGAATAAATAAATTCAGGAAAACTGTTGTGATTCCCAAAGGGATAGTTCAGAACTTTTTGGAAGAGTGATTTTGTAGAAAACAACTAAATAAATCAAGAAAAAGCCTTTTCAGCGTGAGTGCTGAATGACAGCCGATGTCTGTTGAAAAAAGCTGAGGCTGAAAGCTAAAATTAGCCGAACAGAAGCTAAACCTATCAAGACAGCTAAAAGCCTAAAGAGACTGTAAGGATGAAAATTGGCGTAACTTCAGGTAAGATAAAATTAGAATCAACAGAGCTGAAACCTAAAATCAAGAATTGTATTTCAATGTAACAAAAAAAGAGTTTAATTATAATTATTTACAAAAATATCAAAGTTGCAAAAACAAAAMGCTAAAGCACTCATCTCCTGAATGAACTGAATTAGACTTGCTGAAAGATTGCTGAAGATAAAGAAACCAACAGCCTTATAGCAAATACACTGTGCTGACGTAATGTAGCATTTACACTATGGCTCTGGACRGTGATTTACGTGGAGACGCAGCAGCTAGCTGTAGCACTTCCARTACAACCAATGGCACTTTTAGCAGAAGTATCAATATTTTAGGTGGAATATTTGTGTGGTGTGAAACTGATGCAGAACTGTGGGGGGCAGCTGGGTACAAAATTGACCAAGTGGACCATGATGTAAGTGGAGGTGGGCAAGAAAAAAAATGTAAATCCAGTTTTGAACACAAAACARGCTGCTTGCTCTTTGATGCAAACACTCAGAATTTATAGTGAGATTGTAAATTTACCACTTTTTGAGCAATACTGAGTAAAACTTGAACAGCCAGGTGAGACAAGGCTGAATCAAAGAGCTATCTAGAACAGGTAAGATATTTGYTCCTAATCTTTCCACTGAATCCTACAACGGTTAGGTGGAGYAAAACCTAATGGAAGCAACRAGTTGTTTTCTTGYATRATGYGTAATTAAATCATGTGATAAGGGTCTGAAAGGTCAGAGGAGTGGGTTTGTGACACTCACTCAGGTTGATGAAGCTCATCACCGTGTCTGCGTCGTCCAGGAAGCGGCTGTCCTGCGGGCTCAGGCCAGCGGAGGTCCGACTCTGTAAAACGGCCTTGTAGTGAGAATAAGGTTCTGGCTCCGTGGACACGGTGTTGTACAGATCCAGCATGAAGGCCGGGGCGGCGTTGCGTTTGGCACGCGCGATGGGTCGCGGCCGGTGCGGCAGCCCCAGGATGGAGAGGATCTCCCGCTGGATGTCCCTGCGCTCCTGGCCGCGCAGCCGCCTCTGGATGAAGCTGGAGCGCACCTCGGTGTCCACGGACACGTTGGAGAAGCCGGCTGCCAGCGCGCAGCAAGCCCACGGCAGGAGGAACGCTGTGGTGGCCGCTGGGTGCATCTGCATATTTTTTTCTTCCCCCCCCTTTTTTTTTAGGATACTCCAAATTTTTACGCTCGGATCTGCGCGGCAGGCAGATGAGGCTGGAGGTGCGGTGTTTTCAGAGAGAAGCTCGGGACATGTGGAGAAACACGCCTCTGTTTATCAGAGCCGACCGCCGTTCATTCATGATTCGCCGCGCCGTTACGCACCGCCTCGAGGCGATCCAGCCGCGCGCTCCTCTGCTTTGGGAAGAAAAAAAAAGGATTCAGTGCGTCAGGGGAGGGGCGGGAGGGGTTCAGAGTGGGACAAATCACCACGGAAAAGAATGGGACAAAAGTGTGTGTGGGTGTGTGTATGTGGCCTTGCTTTTCCTACATCGTGGGGACAATTTTCCCCAAAAAAACCTGCCTCGTGGGTCAAGGACCAAGGTGTGAATTAGGTTAGTTTAGCTGCTTTCTCAGATGAATGAGTTCGGATACGTTTTACGCGCCGTTTGTGGAAGTGAAGTATTATTT